TACTGGCCCTGTACCTGACCTCATGTTATTTTATTTTGTTTAATCTGATGAGTTCCAACTTTGAAAGATCTGGTTCCAGTAGAAGTGGCACTTCTGAGCACTGTGTAGATTCTTCCCTTACATAACAGTCTTATCTACAAAACAGCTCACCATGCCCTTTCAAGAAGGAAAAACGTGGAAGATGTAAGAACACACTGACAGCAAGTTTCTTTTGCCTGTCACCGAGCTATATGGGTCATTTTCATACAAAAGATGCTGAAAGGAGACACCAGAAACTCATGAGCCTATTTTCTCTTAAACTGTGTTGTCCAGTCCTGGACACCTTTGAGTGGGACAGATGATCTGGCAGATCTATTCCCAATCCCATCTATAGCATAATTTTTAATACTGTACATTTCAAAAAAGCAATGGGTCAGTCTTTCAGGTACCATAAAATGTCCCATCTGCACAAAGTTTCTTCTCACACTTACAGCAGCTGTGCATAGACTTTGTCTTCTCATTCTCATATATTCTTTGTATGGTAGTCTTTCTGGATCCTTCTAGACTCATGATCTTTACTACTGAGTTTGTTCTATACCCCACCTCTGTAGAGATAGTATTACATTGTTAGAGATGATTTCTTGAGTCAATGTAGGCTGATTAATTCAACAAACTCTGCACCAAGTGTCCTTCCAGCACCCAGAAATTCTTAAGCTGGTAGCCAAGTATAAATATTTACATCATCATGCCTGTCTATAGTTTGTATGAATATGCTTTCTATGGAGAAGTCCTGTAGCTAGTATGGTCTGATAATGTAAACCATTCCTTTTTAGCTCAGGTAGTATTCTCTGATTTGGGCACTAAAAAGTCTTGCCTTTAGGTTTTATTCCATATTATACAGATGATGGTTGTCATGTTCTGTATTTACAGGCAAAAAATATTGATTACTGTTTGTTTGGTACCCACTGTGATGGGGTCTGACCCAGATGGCCTTTGGCATTCATTTCATTCCTATCACAGTCCACTTCAGTCATCTTAATTCTAGAGAGTCTGGTCAATGCATGAGACAGAAGGGTTTATACCGGACCAAATCATTATTTGCTGTATTCTGATGGAATACTAAAAAATACTTTTTTTTTTTTTCATCTGATGTGACATAGATTTTGAAATGTAGACATTTTCTTTCTTTGCATAGTTGTGAAATTATATTTCAGCTCAGTAATATAAAACATTAAAAAAATACATGAGCCTTTTTTTGCTTCTTCAGAAATCTTCCGGGAGGTAGTGTGGTCTGCTCTCTTTCTCCTGAAGGATTTCTGGTTGCTAGAAGTTACATAGACTGCCTTGACATACAAAATCTCACAGGATATGAACCCTGCAAGCATCCCAGGTGTTTATGTACAGTTGGGACCAGAATAACAAGGGGGTGGTCACAGTTGAGATTAGATTACTTCCTCCACTCTGTTAACGTTGGGGGTAGAGTGCAGCTTCTTCCAGCTTTGGGGAGTGGTCTCCCACTCTGTCAAGAGGCAGGAGCTCAGCTCAGTGTTCAGCGAGATATGTGGGACATCACAGGACGCCCCCAATTTCTGAGACCATGAGCAAGGTCAGGGCAGAATTCACTTGTCTGGATATGCTATGAATTGCCCTGTGAGAGAAATATAAATACCATATGTTGTAATGATACAAATATAGCAGAGATATTCATTACTGTATGACAGGACATGATGTACTTGACAAAATATCACCTTGGTACTCAATCTTACCTGTCTAAAATATCTCCCAGGAGGACATGGAGGCCAACCCCCACAGAGAGGTATGAGGTAAAAATCTTCCAGACAAGAGACACTATGAACTACGTTAGCGCTATCATATCCACAGGGGACATAGTGTCTTGGGATTCATATTCTTAGTAATGATAGTCCATATTTCCCTTTTTAATCCATACAGCAATAAATGCCCCTTTTCTTATAGACATATTTTGTGAAGGTTCGAGTTGATGCAACTTTGTAATCAGAGCTTCAAGGAGAGGGTGCCCATTGCTATCTCCAGTATATATGCACAAAAATATTTCTCATTTCAAATCTTTGCCCCAGTGGTGTCAGCAAGATTCAATTTAAATGACATTTTTCCCTTGGGGCTGAAGCCAGGGCTGCAGTCTAATGAGTAGGTACTTTGATAAGCCAGTGAAAAGTCTAATGATATGGATTTAACTCTGTTGGACACCAGCTTTATTAGGTTGTTCCTGAGATATGAGAGTATTGACAGTGTTTATGATAAATGACGCTTCTCAGTTACTCTTGCATGGCTGGTCTCCTTTTCAAAGTAGCTGAAGTGTTTAAAAAAGAGGAAATATTCACAACAGAATATATTAACTTACTGGTTCCCATATATTGTCTCCTAGACATCTTCCTACCAAATCAATGAACAGAATTTTTTATTCCTTATTTTCTGTGTCACCAGGGTCAAAATGAAGTTTCCATTACAGAATGAAAGATGTCATTTTCTGGTTGGGGCAGAGCCTAATTTATACCGGTTAAGGTGCTTAGTTAGCTTTTTCACTGCTTTAGCCCCAACAAGGAATAGTTTATGCTACTACTACAGGTGGAAAAGGTGTAAAGTCCCTTTGAGGGATTAAGCTAATCATCTCTGGGTAACTGTTCCCATTAGGAACTGTATGCATCTATTTACGTGGTATGCATTGTAGCTGTCATCAGACCATGGAAGACCAAAAGCAATTATTCAAAAAGTTCATTTTCTTCAGCATCATGGTGTCAGTGCCAAATACGTCAGGAGAGATTTGGATTTTTACGCTCCTATAAGGCTGCAATTTTACAAGCTCAGTAGAAAAACAAACAAACAAAAATGTATCTTGGGGCATAACATTTTGTGCTGTTCATCCAATGTCATCTGGAAGATTTTCCATTTGTGTATCAGAGAGGCCTTCCAGCCTTGGGATGTGGCTAAAATCCATGTTTTGCAGATCAGTTGCCTTACAGTTTATTTCTGCCACTCCCTTCTCCTCCACTCTGCAAGACACCAACCCCTCAGCATCATTTCAGATCAACCCAGACCTTATTCTAATTTACACCAAGTGGTGTACATAGTGCATTATCTGAATAAAATATCTTAGTGTAGGAGGGCATTTTCAAATTAGTGTAAGTGCTGATGGAAATGTCTGTGTGGTCACACTGCAGCAGTTGAAGGAGTAGAACAGTCACAGAGTCTTCTCAGGAATTCACACCACCAAAAGATCCCTATACACGGCTCTGTGTATTTTAAGGCCTTATAGTCCTTAAGCACAAATGTGTTTAGAGATTCCCCACACCATAACAATGTAGTCTGGAGAATACCGTAACTTTTCTTTGTAAGGTAGTATTTTTAATGCAATTGTTACACGGCAGTGAAGCTGCTGACTATCTCTAAATACTGCAAAAGGAATAGTATGGAAAGAGAGTGGAGATCAGTTAGTCTGGGGTGGTTTACTTCTTTTCACAATGTTCACCCACTTTGGGTACTCTTTGATCTTTCTGGCATCTGGGAGGAGTAAATCCATCAAAATCAATTCCAGAGGAATAAAATATAGGGGTAAGATCAGAATCAGACCAAGCAACTACACTTATATTTGTAACTTCTCATCTTATCTGTATTTGTGTACCACATGTCTTTTGAAGATGACTCTTCTAATTCTCTTGTTCTCCATCCATGAATCACTCCAACATTCAAGATCAGGTTGGGTATAGTGTAGGGGTGGAGCAACTGGCTTGGGTGAGGCAACAGGGTGGAATAGGTGCAGTGTTGTCAAAGAATAGTATTGGGCAAGAAATAGCTGGAGATGTCTGGTGACAAGCTGACATGGGACAGTAGTTACTGCTGCCCTGGGGTGAGAAGAAATTGGGTTTGTTGATTGTAAGGTGGTTCACTCTCAAGAGGTCCAGCACTGCTTTTCTGCTTGAAGCTAACAGTGATCTAAAAGCCACCGTATCACTCAGCTCAATCTCATAGAGTCAGTACCTATCCAAAATAACTCAGATTCAACTTTTAAGGCAAGAATGAACAAGTTAATACAAACAGAGCAAGAGAGCACAAGGAAACAATGAATAAGCTGCAGGCTCTGTAGTAAACCCAAGCAGCTTTGCAAGAAACACAAATCTGCTAAAGAACTGAGCTTACACCAACAAGGATCTTGCTCTAAGTTGAAGAAGCAGACCTGACGTAATTTGTCTATGGACAAAAGTTGATCCCTTTACTCATTATTCCTCCACTGCCTAACAAGATTCACAGACTCCTGACTGTGGAAAAGTTCATGTTAAGTCTAAGGAAAATACAGATTTCTATTTTATTTAATAAATGTCTGCAGGTGACTGTGGATATTCAAACCACTCTTCAGAAGGTGTTATACCTCAGAGCCTGGGGAAAGCTTAGAAAAACCAGTATGGCAGGAAAAGATAGGCATGGAAAATTTATAAGCTGAAAGAAAAATGGTGATTTGTTACACTCATGAGAACGGCACCAAGACAAAACAAAGTATCCAGTCATTCATTGCCTTTACATTAAGGGTTTGTTCACAAATAGTTAATAATGGATTACAAATGAGCAGCAGATGTTGTGTGCATGTGACAGATGAGCAACAAAGGTCAAAGTTTCATCCAACGTTAACGGACGTTGATGACAAAACCATTGCAGGGTTAGTGTGGCTAAAATACATAAGGTTTTGTGATTAAAATACATAGGTTTCTGTAGTTGCTCATATGTAATGAATCAGTGGAATTAGCATTGCAAATAGACACTGTTGACTCTCTACTTCAATGCTAAAGTCCACATTCACTGTTGGGTCAAGAGACAGTCACCTATTGTTAGTACACCTTTTGTAAGTACATCTCTAGAAGGAATTGGAGATGCCATCCGAGCTGCATAGAAATTTGCAGAAATTGCTGGATCTCTGAATTTCCTTGTGGTCCTGTGCCCATTTTCTATTTCATTTTCTATGAAATTCAGTGCACCTTTCCTTGTTTGCACAGTTGAGAGGAAAGGGAAACGGAGAATCCGGACAACATTCACAGCTGAACAGCTCCAGGAACTGGAGAAGATTTTCCAGGTAACTCACTACCCGGATATCCATATTCGCAATCAACTGGCAGCAAAGATTAACCTCCCAGAAGCCAGAGTTCAGGTATGTTCTACCTCCAAAAGGCTAAACTCATTGCACCGATTCCTTATTCAGGATATGTCCATAACAGTTTATGCATGAATGACAATGCTAATGAAACATGTGATCTCTTCATTACCTTACAGAGGAGGGCAATATCATTATTCTCCTTTTACAACTAGGGAAAAAAAGTATTTGTCACCCAACTGGGATTAAACAAATGGGATTAAACAAATGGGATTAATCAAAGGGTTAACAGGTGCTCTAAGCATCTTAAATGCACAGCAAATAGGAGTTGCAGATGGTTATAAGCAACCTGTTGGACTCTGTAGCAACAGAATGGACATTTATGAAAATATTTATTAATCATCTATCAACCTTTTATAGGACATTGTAATTCAGTGCAAACTCTCACCCACATCTCTCTTCTACAAGTTCACAAAAAAAGTTAAAATAACTGTCCAAATGAAAATGTTTTGTTACTGTCCTGTAATTTGGTATTATGGACTATAAATGCCCTGGCTGTAATTTCAGTCCATGGAAACTAATCCTGTTTCCCCCAGCTATAATGTAGCCTTACTAACAGAGCTCAAAATTGACCCCATGTATTCAATACAAATGAAAACTGCTACACTGAAATACACATACCACTGTGTATTGGAATTTGGTGTTGTTTATCAGACACTGCTGTGATGATTTGTACAGTTCCTGTACTTGCCATAATGCCAGAGTTGTCAGTGTACTTCCATGTACATGGCCCACTCTAACAAAGTTCAACACTGATCAGTTTATTGACTATGACATGCCTGGGACTATTGACTAACTGTGGTGATATTGCTTCATAGTTAGGTGACAGGGAGAATTGGAGCAGCATAACTGTAATGTGCCCATTAGCAATATCAGTGCACCCGTATTGCATTTCCAATAGTATGGAGCGCAAGCTGGGCTACTAGTCAGACAGAACACCAAACCACATGAAATAACAGGACTATCTTCTGTTTAAAAACTAATTTATAATCTGTAGGAAGAAAAAAAAATGGATAAAAGGAAAGAAACGGAATTACCATGGGAAACATCAACCTGAGATGTGCAAGGAAGAAAAAACCCATCGTGTCTGAATTTCAGATGGCAAATTCCCTATCCAGACTGTTACACTTGACACAGAGGTTCTGCATTTCCCTCAAAGGGAAACTGGTCACAGAACTAAAAATTAACAGTAACTTCGGTATTTTTGAAATCAGAGAACCATAGAACCAAAATCAGCTATAAGTCAAATAACCTCAGAGAGAGAATTTAGCAACAAGAAAAGAAAAAGTGAGCATCTTTTTGGGAAACTATGTGAAACATTTCACAACTGTGTGAAAAACTCATGTCCCCCAATTCAGAAACAAAGCTATGTTTCCTACAAAACAATTTAAGTGGACAGATGGAATTACTCCTTGCATGTGTGCATGCCTACATCCAGCACAAAATGAAGAAAGCTGGATGAGTAAACATTAGAAACAGAAAGTTATAAAAAGAAGGAATAAGCGAAGCTAAAGTATACAGGCCAAATATGTGGTCAGATAAACAAAGGATCATCAGAAACTCAATAAAAGTACATTAAGAAGAAAAAAGTGAACAATTTTATTGATCTGTTACTCTACAGAAATAGTGGGACAGTCAAGGAGAGTGCAGAAATGGCAGAGATGCTCAGTCATAATTTCTGCTCTGTCCTTGGAAATATGTCAGATAAGGTGGCAGTATCACATGATGGTGATGAGACACTTTCTATCAGGACAACGTTGAATAGCAGCTACAGACTGACATTTTTAAATCCAGAATCTCAGTGACTTGCTTCTAGTAGTTCTTAAAAAGCTGTTTGAGACACACTTTGGATCATCAGTTTTGATATTCGATCAGTCCTGTAGCACAGTGGAAGTTCTGGGGACCTGGAAGAAAGCTAATGTTGTGTTGATATTCAGAAGGGTAAAGAGAACAACCACATAATGACTGACCCGTGAGCCAAACACTGATTTCGGCAAAAAGATGATAAAGCGTATATGAGTCCCTACTCATGAAGAATTAAAGAAACAGTAATATATTTAATTCTGATCAACGCTGGCTTATGGAAAAGAAGATGTTGTCAAATTCATCTTTTTTTTTGATAAATTATATTTTTGGCTGATAGAGGTAATAACACTGATGGGGTGTCACTGTAAGGACCTTGCCCTTGGTCTTCCACTCTTCTTGGATTAAGAAAGCAGAGCAGATCAAGATGTTATGTTCTAGTACACAAGAAGCAAGATGTGCAGCAGGTGTTCAATTGCAAATGAGGACATATCAAAGGTGGCCTCTCATAGGAACCATTTACTGACACAGAGGTCAATGTGAACTGCATAATCAGTAAAATCTTTACTGATAGAGTTATGAAATAGTAAGAAGATAAAGGACTGGTAAATAAGGAAAAGGCTTGTTCTTTAGCGTGCCCTAGGTCATTGGTCATGTGTCTGCAAGAGAACAACACAGGGACAATGACAGAGCAACAGACAGAAGCCATTCCTAGAATATGGGGAGCACCACCCTCCCTCTGTGCTGTTATAGCCCCTGTTTCTTCATACAACTTGCTGAGAACCCTCCCTCTCCCTCATTCTGCTCCTGGCTAATGCTACTGCTGTGATGGGCAAATGAGTCTTTTGTGAAATCTCAGGCAAGATTAAGGAAGCAGTTGACCCTGGCTTGAGCACCATTGTGACTTTCATGAGCACCCATGGGAATGTTGTTCTCTGTCTCAGTGCCACAGCTCAGGAACACTGGAAAATTGAAGGTTACTAACATGCAGGGAAAAAAAAAATTGTATCAGTAGGTTGCAATCTGTGGTGGACGGAGCAGGGAGGAATATGATTAAATCCCAGTAAAGAGAAGTCAGGGTGCACATTTAGAAATCATTCTGGGGAGGGAGGTTTTCTGAAGAACCAGCTGAGCAGAAAAGGCAGTTTAGGCTCTGAACACAGCTATGCCTATATTAAAAAATAAAAATCTATGAAGTGAAGACTTTATCCCACATGCAGACTCTCGAAGAAGCACTTAAAAGGTTGAATTTTTGGCTTTGGCACTCCCCTCTACCTTCAATCACTTAATCGATGGTAAAGAGGACCCATTTCATGGTTTTGTTTCACTATATATCTACTACCTGGTAGAAAGGGAATGTTATAGCTCATACAGACTGAGCAGTTCTCAAACACACACAAACCCAGCAAAAAAGGTCTGTCCTTTCAGTAACCTCGGATACTTCTAACTACCAGCAATATAGCAGAGGTCTCCTGACGTTCCCATTACTTGCTGGGCAAGAGATGCAGAAATAATTGAGCTGTTCATTATTGTATTTAAAATGCATGTATATTTACAACAAACAGCATATGGTTTTGATCCCTAACACCTTGTGTTCATCCGAATCTCTTGCCAAGAAAGAAATGTTTACATTCAAACAGCAAGTTCCAAAGCCAGCTAGTCTGCAATGGAAGGGGAATTCAACTTTCACATCAATGCAACAAGATGTACTACTGTGGCTGCACAGTAAACACTTGCATGCCTCAGCCAGAAGCCAGACAAATCAAACCAGCTGAAAGATGAAAGAAGTTCTCCCTTGAGAAAATTAGTTGTCAGTTGTCCAGTGCAAAAGAGATGGCAGATAACATAGAGTGCTGAATGACTCAGAAGTTGGCATCCCCATGGGTCTTTTGCTTAGGATCCTTACATGAATTTCAGAATGTTATAAGCTAAATACAAGAAGAACCCTGTTACTATAGCTCCATGGGTGACACACATTTACTGCAGTCCAGCAAACATCTATGTGAGTCTTTTCCTAGTCTATTCATTTGAGAGCAGGGTGACAAAGTCCTGCAATGCAATAAGTTGCACCTCCTAAGGAAATCATAATGCCACATCTCTTGACTGTGAAAAAGCTGTGAAGCTTTGACCATGAAAGGATTTACTTTCCAAGGAGATCCCTGGAAGACCTGCTGCACACTGTCCTACTGTCTTTCCATAAAGAGGGGAATGGATCTAGTCCATTACTACAGAAACAGGGCTCTGCTACAACCTCAAATGATATATAATTTTTGTAAAAAGTTTTGAGTGAAACAAAACCAAATGCTCAATAACAGCTGTGATTCTGTGAGAGAAAAGTGGCTGTTATGATTGTGCAGAGATCCCAATGTGTTATGCAAAATGCAAAAGGTGTTGTGTCAAACCCCATGTTTTCCTTTAGGTTCAGCCTCTGGTTTTGGTGAGGTCATTTAATGAGCAGGAAAATTAATTGAATGTGAGCAGTTCCTTCTTTATCTGCTGCTCATTTCTGTGCCCTTTCATTTCTGCCTGTATCTAGATCTGGTTCCAAAACCAGCGAGCCAAGTGGAGGAAACATGAAAAATTTGGCAACTTTGGTGGCCTTCAGCATCTGACAGAAGTTGATTTCATTCCTGCTCCCAAGGCAGATATCGCAGTAAGTATTGGAGGCCATGTATAAAACCAGTGAGGGGGAGAAAGCTATCCTTCACCAGGTTACCTCTTCACATGGGAGGACTGGAAAGGACAAAATGGTGATATGATCAAGTTAAATCCCAACAAATATGGTCAAATAAAATTCATTTTTCTAAATATGTATTATTCCTAATATTATTCCTGTATATATGCCATGAGGGTGATCCTACCCTATTTTACTTCTAAATCATATGCTTGTAAATCATGTTTTGGATCAAAACATCTTAAACACCCGCAACGTCCTGAACAGGAAGAAATATGACATTTGTAACCACAAAGATGTATTTCTTTAGGCAGTCAAGATCTTTTTACAATGTCCAGCCTACTTAGGGTCATCAAGGCTTTTTGCCCTTGCCCCATATCCTTGCTAAGCCCAAGGCAGTTAATCTAGGCTGGCACACAGGCTGTTTCCTTGACAGGAGTGCTTCCATAGATAGAACAAAGACTATTTTGCCTTGCTCTCTGACTGACAGCACATCACTGGGTTTTAGGGAGTCTATTCTAAACTTTTCTTCTTAATTACTGAGCACCAGGGAAACAGCCAAGGTTGATTGCAAATTGTATCTAAGTAAAAGTCAGTATTGATTTACCTGAGACTTTGTTTTTGTTCTTGAAAGGCTTCTAGCTTGATGCCGAGAAAGCTCGCTGCTACTGTCCCTGCTGTGGGATACTACTCACCACTGCAAGGGCAACTGACATCTGCTTGGCTGCCCAACATGCTCTCCTTCGTCCCTCACCACCTGGAGCTGCTTCCATTCCCAAAACCATATTTACTTTTCAACGTCCTCCCCCCCTATGGCACCTACAGCACGCCTCTGCCCCACAAGTTGGAACAGAGCAGTATCTGTGCCAGCTCCACATAAAGGAGGATATGGAGGAGCAGGGGACTTGGGGTGCATGCCTATATCACCCATGACTGTTTGCAGGGGGCAGGTGCTCTCCTCAAACAAGCATGCTGGGACGATGAATAGCCTGTGGCACGAGGTCAGCTTGCTACGTGAGTGCCACCACAAGAAGCTGCAGCCTAGTGAACATGGGCGAGAGCCACCGTGGACGTGGAAGGAGATTCCTGTTGACCTAAGGAGCAGCATGCTCTGTAGAAACCAAACTGCTCAGCCAAGAGCTTCTCCCTGGGAGGACAGTGCACCAAGCCGAGTGGTCCTGCAAAAAGGACTGGGGTTTTACTCAGCCCTGATAACACAGGATGACCCAAATGCACCGATGCCTTGCAGCAGGGAAGATGTCTATGATGAGTGCATAGGTTCATCCAAAAGGGTTTTCCTCTGTATGTTTTGGTTTCTTTCCTTGGACATGCTGGTCGTCATGCTGGGAGGGGGGAAAAGAACATGTTTAGGTCAAAAATCAGATTTTTAAGATACTGTTTTTTTCCAAGGATTTGGTGAGGGAAGGGTGTGGGTTTGATTTGCTGGCTGTGTGTTTGAGTTGAATATATAAAGGGGTGCAAACACAGTTTGAGCTTACTTATGGCACTCTGAGAGGGGTAGCAGTGCTAAGCTCTGGATTTGGTACTGTGAGTCTCCGGGGGCAGAAGAGTTCTTCAGATGGTTAATTAAAATGCTTATGAGGAAGCCTCTCATTTTTTGACCTGAATTAAGAAAGCTCTAAAGCTACTTCAGAAACAATAACAAAAAAGAGACAGACTAACTGAGTTTAATCTACTAGATATAATAAGATGGTATGACCCCACGGTTTGGCTTAATTGTAGATCAATAATGAGGTTGACCTTCCCACTTACAAAATGTCTGTATGCCCTATTATTTACATAATATTAATCTCCTTCCAACATATGGCTGTTTTCCTCTGCTTGTTCAGGGTCCAATCCTCCTTCTGCTGAGGCCTCCACTGGCTTTCACAGGAAACACTGTTGGAAAGCGCTCCTTAAAGGGCTGCACCATCCTCTGTCTTGCAGCCACAGTACACATTGCACACTGACAGGGAAAGCACACACTGCACACTGAGCAAAGCCATTAAAATGCGGTCTCCCTCCTAGACATATCACTTGCAAGGGTGGCCATTTGTGACAAAGTCCAAATGCAAAGCAAATCATGACCCAAAGGCTTGCAGGGGAGGCTGTCCTGTGCACACGGGAGTGCAGGTAGGTTAATGACTCTGTATAGGTTGCTTATTTAAGAAATCCCTCTGGCCAGACTGCAGCTGCCAGGTCTTCAGCCTTCTCCTAGCCACTAATTGTTAGTTACATAGCAGATCACAGTGAATCAATAGCTTTCTTGTAGTCTGGCTGGTACCAGCTGTCCCTGTACCAGTTATCCCCGTACTGTTTGAGGGAACCGTAAACTAGTGAGTAGCTGATTGTTACAGGGTGAAAAAATAAAGGAGCAAAACCCTGCCCTACATGGGCTTCATTTCTCCAGGCCACAACTATTCAGCAGAAATCACACTGTCTTACCTCCTACAGGTCTTACACAAGACCTTTTTCCTACACCTGCTAGGGTTTTCATATCTTCTTCATCCATGGTACCTCATCTACCATCTGAAAGAAGCCAAGTCAGATACAGTTCAGAACCACAATGGGGTTTACCCACCTAACTGATTTAAATGTACATGAATTAGCTGTGCTGTTCACCTCATGCAACTTTAGGTGACTGCATTGCAGCCACATACACCTGAATTAAGCACCCTGGTCTTGCTTTACGGAAGGAGAAGTGCTCACACTTAGGCTTCTAAGTTGGGTGAAGACTGTGCGTTACTGCAGTTTCCCTATTCCATATTGCCTCTATTCAATTGTTGTCTTAAATATAGACATTGGCATTGTCGTCATATAAAGCTAAGACTGTATGGGCGTGACTCTGCACACAAGTGGCTGCACGCAAGCTGGCTGCAAGCCAGCCCCTGCACTGGAACAGCTTCTCCTGGGGGTTAATTTGTATAGAATAGAGGACGATTCGGGGATGATCATAATGTGTCAATTTATCTTTGTTAGGATATGGAGTGTTTCAATTTCACCAGTCTTGTAATAGAAACCAAGCAGCTTTCCTAGACTGTTGTTTACTTTCTGACCACTCCACTTGTCTATCTGATAGCCCCACTGCCAGGGTTCCTACACAGCAAGATGCCTGCCCAAAATTTGGAAGCTCTGCTTCATGTCTCTGAGGTCATCTAGAAGCTCTGTTTTGGGACAGAGAGTTGAGAAGCAGAGCTACTGAGCAAACTACACCAGCTTCATCTTGAAAAATCAAAGCCTTGGAATTCCTTCTTTTGCTTGCAGTGCCAAGAGTTGGAGATTTTGTTTTGATGTGGTACAATTTTGCTTGGGCTTTCTTATTTATTTATGAAGTTTCAGAATTTCCCACCCAACATCAAATCTAGGTTTCAGGAAATGTGTGGCATCTCCACTCGTATACATACAGCTGGCAAAATTCCAGAGAGACTTAATATCATCAGTTTGTTTTTCATAGATTTCATAATTTTATTCTGAGGCACATTCAGAACAAATTGTCATGGAGAAAGACAGTTTTTGGCAGTAGCATGTTGTTAAACTCCTACGCTTTCTCATCTTCCAGTTTTCATCCCATCTTGTCTGATACTGATGTCTTTCCCTTCCCCTTCACCCTGGACCTATCTTCAAAGCAAGAAGTAAAAAAAAAAAAAAAAAAAAAAGCCACAGTTCCCTGGTCCCCAGGATTTATTTATTTATTTATTTATTTTTGGCATTGTAATATATTTTGGTGTTTGCCAAAAACGCCCGCTTGGGCACATCCTATACTCCACAACATCATTCAGACTTATAGGATTACTCTGGGCATTCACTTACCTTAAACCTGCCTGACAAAGTGTTGTCAGAGGGCCAAGCTGTCTGAAGAAGCTGACCACCTGCTAGCAACATCTGCCTATAAAAATGCAGCTATAGTTTTATCCTAACTTCAGGATAATAGACGGAGCTGTCCCCAGCAATAAGCATCAACCGTTTAACACCAACAGAGCTGTTTTCCTCTGAAATTCAGGGAACCCTTCACAAAGCAGACATTTTGATCCATGTTTTGAACAGGGAGATGCTGGGGAAGAAGTGCTGGTGGCTGGGAAAAGGAGTCAGATTTATCAGGGAAAAAAGTCAGAGGTTCTTGGCTCTCACTGTGCTGCTTCAGAGTGAACCAGTCCTTCTGACCAGCTAGCATCACTCCTACTCTTGTCCCAGCCAGAAATAATCTGTCCCACTCTCAGCAGCCTAAGACCACTTCCCCAAAAAATCATGGTTATAATCTCTACCCACAAGGCACAGCAGAGAGTCACAATAACATTTCATTCCCTTGGCTGATCTGGATAACTTCTCCAAGGCAAGGGCAATGAGAGGTGACAGCATGGGGCTGAACTCTCCCTGCCCATGGACGTCCTGGAAGGCTGTTGCTGCTGTCAGATGGATCAGGTCTCATTAGCCTAATAACACCTTGGAAATGAGTGACGGGCAACCCTGTCTTCTCCTAGTCCCTGACAGAAATGAAGGGCCATTAGTTGTGGTAGATGCTTGGGGGTTTTACCTCACCCAATTTTAAGTGACTCAAATGACAAGGTTGTGCAGCCCACTTAGGGATACCCCTCCACAGTCTCACAGCTCTCCATGATATTCAACTTACATTTTCCATGTGACAGGTTCATCCTTTAATTCCCCATAAAACCCCTCATAACCTGCACAATTCCTCCCCTCTGCTTATGGCCCCAATTTCCATTTCCGCACTGACTTTTCTCGAGGAGACAGGCCACCAATTTCAGAAAAATTAGTCCTCTTCAGCATAAGGAAATCCCGATCCTGCAGATGATGTTTGCACACCTTAGACACCTCTGAGCCCTCAAGTCGCCCTGGCTTAGCTCACCTAGCTATCTTGTGTCCCTTAACCTTTCCTTGTAAATCCCTCAGGGCCAGAGGTATTGAGGGCAAGATTCTCAACTGGATTAAACACAATTAGGTAGATGACCAAGGTCCGAGAACAGACGTAAATTAGCACCAATCTAGAGGGCGGAGACTGGGACAAAGTCTAAAGGGGGTGGTGAATATGCATCAGGGAGAAGGGGATGTGGTGTGCAGAGAGTTGGCGGGGTTGGGATCAGTTTTGCTCACATATCATCTATGGGAAGATGGGGCCCTGTGCTGCTGGTAGGGAAGAGAGTTTGGCTGTGCAGGAGGAAAGCTGGACCCCACATAAAAATTGGATTATGAGCCTGCCTGACTCCTATTTAGACAATTTAATGTGGAAAACTTGCTGCATATGAAACTGAAATTCACACCAGTGGGCAGAGCAAGGAGGCATGCATGCAGTGATTGCTCTTTTGATCAAAAGCTGATTTTCTTTTTCTTTACTTTTAGCTGAGTTTTCAGATTGGCAGACTTTTACCAATACCACAGTAAGAGAGCCCAAGGGGTTCTAGAAAGCTTTTCAGTTATCATTGCTGCTGTTATTTTGTGGGGGCGGCTGGAAAAGAGAGCTGGGGTTTGGAGGGGGTTGTTTACTTTTGAGGGTTTCTTTCTTTTTTTTTTTTTTCTTTCCTGTGATTACCACAGTCAGAAAGAGAGCGTGAAGAGAAGGCGCTGCTTACTCTGTAATTCCAAACAGGTACGCACTAGACCTTGGGTCAAAACAAAACCTGTGATTTAAAGCAGCCAAACATCTGGTTCTTCATGCTTGTTGAGCAAGCTCTCCATTCTTTTCTCACTCCGTGCTCTGACCTGACTTTGCTAAGCAACTGCAAAGTATTCTTCTTCCTTCACCCCTTGTCCCCCCTTAGCCTAGACTACAGGCCTTGCCTAAGCACCACTTCTCGTTCTGTTCCCTTTTTGCCCCTAGGTAGTTTGGTGTATTTTTGTATCTGAGAAAATTATATTGGTTTTGCTCAGGGACCAAATGACCACACATCTGTGCATCTCGTGAAGATCAATCAAGAAGACTGGGTGTAAATAAGGGTTTCATTCAAAATATAGCAGTCAGTGAAATAATTCAGGCAGGCTTTGATCCAGCCAGGAGATCTTGGCTCTTTAAAGAATACCTCTTGTTATACATCCTCCTTGCTTGTGTCTTCAGGCAAGCCTGCTCTGTCCCTGGGACAGTTTTTAACTGACTTCCTGGCCATTTTACTTCTTCTTCTTCTTTTTTTTTTTTTATAAAATCCATCATTTACAATCAATATCTATCCAAAGATACCCACACAGCCTAATGTTGTTTTCTAGGGACTAGCAATAAAAACTCACCCCCTGGCCTCCTGAAGCCTGGCAGCATGGAAGGGGCAGGAAGAGAAAAAGCCTTTCATTCCAGCTCTTCAGAGCTGGAAGCTTCTCAAAGGACTTCAGAGTTGTTTCGTTTGTTTGATCAAAAATAAACCTGGTGTCAAAGTCGCAAAGGGGTTTTAGATTAAGTGCTTTAAACATAAACCCAAACAGATTTTTATCATCTAAAAAAAAAAAAAATCTGTATCTCAAAGTAGCAAAGAAGTAATTACTCAAACAGCTGTTTTCAAGAGCATTTCAGGGAGAGCGTGTCCCCTCATGGGACACCATGTATTGGTGCTGAGCCTGTGAGCCTTTCTGGGACCAGCATATCAAGTGGTATGTGTTGGCCACCTA